CCACACACACACACACACACACACACACACACACACGAACGACTTGTTTGCGGCCTGACGTGGATCTAATGTACCAGTGTGTGCTTTGTTTCAGACGTCCAAAGACAGGTGAGGGTAGTGTCGCCTCCTCATCGACCCATACCCGCCCCTTCTGTCAGTGCTGGACCCAGCGCTGCAGGTCCAGACGTCAGGCCCGGCCCTGCCCCCCCCCTGAAGCAGGCACAAACCAACATGGTGTGTCTGAACAGCCGATCGCCTTCAGAGAGCACCTCCACCGTCTGTAAGTCACTGTGGACATTCTCCTGTTTTCTTAAGGTATACCAACAGGTGTGTTATTTTCATAAGGTGACGATACAGACTGCTTCAGCTCAAACGGCTCTCTGATGAAGAGCCACAAATGCAAAGCCGCACAGCAGCAGCAGCAGCAGCCTTGTGTTTGGTGACATGTCTGTGTTGCCCACCATCAAACAAAGTGATCAATTGCAGAGATCACAAGATTTATGTAGTGTGCCTCAGAGCACCGTCTAGTGGACTATGGAAGTACTGCCAAATGGTTATATTAAATACTAATTTAACATTTTCTTTTTACAAAGCTATTTTTCTTTTATATAAACATGCTCAATAGTTTGCAAGAATTAAAAAAATTCAAATGTAATTTATGCCTTCAATCAGCAGTGGTGTTACAATATGAGCAGTGATGCTAACAGTTTCTCGGCTTCAGTAATACTGTGTGTGTGTGTGTGTGTGTGTGTGTGTGTGTGTGTGTGTGTGTGTGTGTGTGTGTGTGTGTGTGTGTGTGTGTGTGTGTGTGTGTGTGTGTGTGTGTGTAAGAGAAAGTTTGCGTACATGGTCGCAGGTTTTGCAAATACTTTCTTGTTTCTCATCTTGCTGGACAAGGTTCTTGCAATTGGGTAACAAAAGGTTGAGACCTTATGAAGCACTAAACCTACTTTTTCGTAGAAGGGGCATTACAAATATTTTTATAAAGAAGATGCTAAATATTTTATCAATAAATTAGCTGTTATTTTTCACAAGCAATCCATTAGTTGTTTGCTTAGCAAAAGAGCAAGAGATGATGTTAAATTGCTCTCAAGAGGGGTGGGTCGAATGGGCAATTACTCTCAGGCATACCTTTTTGGTCATCATTCAATCATTGAACTGTTTCATCCATTGCAGCTCTAAATAATATGACCAGCCTTCTCTTCAGTTAGTGTATGAATAATATTTCTATGTGTTTGTCTTTCTTTGACTCCTGACAGTTTCCTTGGACAGAGGTCGGGCCCAGCTGGACAGCAGCGAGAGAAATCTGATGAAGGAGATCAGAGAGCTGAGACAGAAGCTGGCTGCCAGAGCCAGAGAGGGCGGCTCCTCCCCGTCTGTCCTCACTCTGTCCTCCGTCTCCCAGTGACAGACTCTGTCCTCCGTCTCCCAGTGACAGACTCTGTCCTCTGTCTCCCAGTTACAGACTCCGTCTCCCAGTGACAGACTCCGTCCTCTGTCTCCCAGTGACAGACTCTGTCTCCCAGTGACAGACTCCGTCCTCATTCTCCCAGTGACAGACTCTGTCTCCCAGTGACAGACTCATCCCTGTCTTCATCACAGAAACATATTCCTATCTCAGACTACAGAAACAGACTGAGGAGCATCCTGGCTGCTGACTGTCAGAGTATTCCTAAAGCATCCTCTAAAAACCACTTGTTCTCATTCTGTGTGCATTCAGTCCTCTGACTGGTTCCCTGGCTCCATCATCTGCTGAGTTCTCTGGTAAAACCCTCACTAGCAGCTACAGTACCATTCATTTTCAACTCAGTTCTATCTGTGGCCCTGGCCAAACAAAAGCCAGAAGCTGTATCATCCTCTCTGTCTGTAACTGCTGAACACTACTCTGTGTCACAAAGTGATGCAACACACAATACTTAGGTACTTTGTATAACTGTATGATAGACATCTGTTAGTTTGTTTACAGAGCAGTGGAACATCTTTGTTTACCTCCAAATGTGTTATTGTATCATTCCAATGTAGTTTTTTTTTCATTTGTACACTTTATATTCATAGTTGTAGATTATTTAAGTATTCTTGCTGGTGCGCCATTTAGCATTTTTATTTCAATGCATTTTCTCTCATTTTATTATTTATAATCTGGTTTGGATAAAAAAAAATGTAAAACCTAATTCCACTTTCTCTTTTATTTTGCTTTTAAATAATTTATAGAAAGTAGGGTTTGGGGAATAAAGGATCTTGGTAGAAGTAAGATTTGCTTCTTCTAGGATTCTGTTTATCAATTTCCAAAAATGTTAATGCTACTAATGGACGGTATATCTACACACCAATGAAAGACGTGTTGATCATTATTGTGTTGCATTACTTATTAAAAATTCACCAAAAAATACCAGTTTTCACCTTAGTCTGTAAAATGCATTTTGGAAATGGCTAGTTTCTAAAAGTAGCTAGCATTATCTTTCCAAATAACAGGTTATTTTTACATAAGTTGAACTTGGTCTTGAAGTCACAGAATTAACAAATACTAAAAGGTTATTATTAAAAAGAGATGTGTGCAGTAGCATGGACCAGTGTTTTTACTTAGGTTTGCCCTGTGTGTTTACACAAATACCTCAGCTGATATAACTTTATTTATTTAACCAAATATAACCAACATTTTACAACAGCAATCTTGCCAAGAAGCCAACAAAGTAATTCATCTTGTTCCTGCAAATTACGTACTTGCGTACAATACAATGCAAAAGGTATGAGGTTAAAACAAATGTGCACGCATCAATAAAGATTTGTAAGTGCGTGATTCAAACAGACAACAGACATGACAGGTTGTAATGTGTTGTAGCTTTTGAGTCCATCCTGCAGGTCATGCAAAGACTTGCAAAGAAGGGAATTCAGAGATTCCTCTACATACTTGAGTAACTAGCCTAGAATGGCCTTGAAATACACCAGTGCTGCATCCCGCTCATATCAAGAGAGAACTGCCACATCGCATTTATCAATCGCAAAGCTGATTGGAGAAGATCCTAACAAAAAAAGCACCTCTAAATACTGAATCTGGATTATTTTGTAATGCATTATTGAAATACCCAAACATTTACACCTCTAGCAGATAGTGTGTTAAAGAGACAACATGCAAAATGCTAATCCAGTTCCTACTTTAGACATCACTATAAATGAGGGATGTTTGTTGAGTTGCTTTGTGTTCATGGTCTATGTGCTTTTGACAATCAAAATCAATCTGTCTCTTCACAAACCAGCTGCAGATCAGGTTGGACTGTGCTCCGACCAGCAGAGTGTTCTCACTGTCAAACAGCTGAGAGTCCGAGTGTGTCTCTCCTCCCTGGGTGTGTCTGGAACTCTCTGTCTTTTCTTTTACTCCCATAAACATCAGGTGCTGTTTGACATGAGCCGTAACGACAGCCATCCCCATTCCTGTCACTCAGCCCTTTCTCTCCCTGCACCCGTATCTGCCCTCACCTGCTCTCGTATCTGCCCTCACCTGCTCTAATCGCTCTCAGGCCCTTGAAGCAAAAATAGTTAAACAAAGTTCTTCATTTATGTTCATGTTTAACCAGAAATGCACACATTGTAGGAAAAAGCAGAAATGTCATATTTCACAAATAAACGTAGCTTACCTATGGATAGATTTTTGTTACATGTTTTCTTGTGAATTCTCTGCCTTTTTTAACACCTTATTGCATAACTGTTGCTCTCACCTTTCCTCACGTGTAACCATATTGCTCTCAGCAGGGGCGGGTCTAGGGTTTTCTCCTTACTTCTGTATATGGTTCAACCAGTAGTTCTTTCATTTATGTAATGTCAGAGAAATGCAGATCACCCAGGCTCTTGAGGATCATGCACCGCCCGCCTTTGATCAAATAATTGTCTGATGAGAATATTTGACCTCTTAACAAACTGAACAGTATTAAGTCCATCATCCATGGATGCCAGCAGTCAGTCAGTGCTGTGGTACAGGAGGTCGAAGCCCCTGGGGATGGTGAGGCGGCGGGTTCAGGACCTCCGCATCCCCTCCTCTTGCAGTGACTTCATGGCCAGCAGACCCCCGTTGGACCTGAGCCACAACGAGAGCGCCCGGGTGGCCGTGGACTGCCTGCTCAGCCGGGGTCTGGAGGGGTACCGAGAGATGCTGAGTGCAGAGGAAGAAGTGGACTTTCTCTCTGAGCTGGAGAAGAGTTACATCCTGGAGAATGGCAGAGATGGTTAGTTTTTGTTTTTAGCTTGCTCTTTGCTGCCTGAGGTTTGAACACATCGGTAACCAATAGATTCAGTAATTGGATTAAAAAAAGATAATTATTCCTGGTTTGTTTCTTTTTGTAGCTGATCCTGGTGCCTGTGATGACGGAGACGAGGTGGACACCCTGTCTGCTGGCTCCCAGTCTCTCATAGCACGTTCCTCTGAGGATTCTACTGTGGTCGGTTTGGACCTGAGCCCCAAAGGTGGGACAAGACTTATAACATAAAATCTGATTACCTTTATTCATCCCACATAGGGGAAATGTACATTGTTACAGCAAAAGTGAAGAGACAAAAAAGAAAACACTAGTTCGTCCACAAAAGAAACTACTCTGAAATAAGGAATTGAATACAATCTTTCTGCTGTTTCTACATTTACAGTGTAATCTCTAATAACATGGGGAATTCAAATTGGTAATGTTCTTTATTTGTGAAAACAAAACGACCTGAATGTGTCACTTCACATAGGGCATGTTTATTTTTCATATAGAAAAGTCAGCAATCATAAAGGAAAGCTTCAAACAGGTCCTTTATCACCTGAATTTTAAGCTAACATAATTATTTTAATGTGAAATTTGGTTTCACGTATAAAATCAAAGCATCACGTGATTTATTTTGTCTGAGATTGACTTTTGACATGTTAAAGTTTTAATTTACATGTAAGGTTACACAAATGTGTCTTTCATCCCATGTCAATTTTAAGATAAAAATGTGATTTTCAAATGTGAAATCACAACACCAAGTTACATTTTTTTGTAAAGTATCAAAGCATGATCTCCACTCTCCACTCATGTCCATGTCTCTTCCAGATGTGAGGCGGACTGGTTCTGTGCTGGACGAGCCAATCGCTGAGCTCTTCTTCCAGTCTGGCAGCCCAGCAGGCAGCATGAAGGACCTGGTCCGAGGGTTCATCAGGAAGGCTGCCATGGTGGGTGTGTTTCTGTGTGAGATGAGGAGAGCACTTAGTGTGTTTCCTCGTGTGCCTGCACATTATAAGAACATGCCATATCATGCATGCCTGTACATGTGAGGGATTATACAAATGTGTAGCCCTGAGTGCTGTGACACAGTGAGTGATATCTGTCTGCACAGGTTTTTGTTATAGTGATTGAAATCTTAAATGAAATGTTTGTAAGCAGGCCCTGGCCATAGTGATGGACACCTTCAGTGACGTAGAGCTACTCTGTGATCTTCTGGAGGCCAGCAGGAAGAGGAATGTGTCCGTCCACCTGCTGCTGGATCATCTCAACTTGAACCTGTTCCTCAGCATGTGGCAGGACCTCAAACTGGACAGCAAAAACTTCCCTGTGGGTCTCTTTATCTACCTCTTTCCATCCTCCTGTCTGTCTGAGCCTGAAAGCATTCACCAAAACTTGGTTAGGGGGGAAAAGCACCTGTTTGACATTCCTTGAGTGCAGTATTTTTATTATTTGTTTATTATTTGTATTTGCTAATAATCATGCATGTTATGATATTTGTTATTATAAATAAGGTAACAGTTGGACAGGTTTACATTTAAGCTGTTCTTGATGCCTTTAGGTTGTGCAGATTTGTGTGTTGTTTTATATACTATATAAGTCTGTGTAAAGTGTGCGTAGTCTTCATTCTAAAGCCGAAACGTTGTTTTTTAACAATACATGATTTTAATAATATGCCTTGTGCAAAGACCTGATGCGTCGCTCGTAAAAACAAGAGTTATGG